TATATACATATACACACATATATATATATATACATATAACCCATATATATATATATACATATACACCCATATATATATATATATGTGTGTGTGTGTGTGTGTGTAAATTGTATAAGCACGCAGATTCTACATATAGATCACTGTTTTTAGTAGATTTGGTGTAGCATACCAATTTAATACGCAAAGTACTATGTTATGCGCAAGGTATATGACGTCTGTATGTATTTTTATATTCAGATGTCTGTATATGTTTATTCTTGGATATATCATATACGCACTTTCACTCACACTTCGTTGACATATGCACCGGCATCAACATGCCACTGTACCCTTTAATTTTTCATACCTGACACCATGTCTGTCACCGACCCGAACCTCTTCCATATTTCATACAATCATATACCCTTAACTCCAACGTTCAAATCTATTGTTCAGCGCCTGGTTTTGGACACCTGACACGTGACGCTCAACACTTGACACGTGTCATTAGACACTTGACACTTGATGTTTAAACAGGGTGTTGTTTGCATTGATTAATTATTCACGTGTTCCACGTTCTTTTTTGGCGCGTGGCAGAGATGAGTGAGAGAGAGGGCACGAAGATGAACAAGCCAGAGTCCTGTTTCAACATCCCAGGGTAAGACTTACCCTTTTCCAACTTCGTTCATATCCCACGGAACAGTCTTAGTTGTGCTACTGTGAGCATACGGAACAGTCTTAGTTGTGTTACTGTGAGCATACAACTGCTAAGTATACTATACCGTAGCGTGTCGTGTGTATTGAAGGTCAGATGTGTGTGTGTGGAGTCTGGGATATATATTTGCGTTTCGAGCTAAATATGGATTCAAAAAGATTTTCTGTGTACTTGTTTAAACGATATGGTTTCAGGTTGCAAGGGATGTCCCTATCGGACTTGCACATGTATATGTGTATGTGATTCCAACAAAATATATGTATATATGACCCTATACTCAATCTCGAGATCTCGGATTGCCGTCTCGGGTTTAAATTTTCTGTCTCTGAATCGACAGGTTTGTGGCCTTGCACAATATCGCCACGCACGAGATAGAAAAGCCAATAGAGGAATTTAGGACATTCAACGAATTCTTCAGCCGTCGATTAGCACCAGGTATATCTAAGTGATCCACTCCGATTCTTTTCTAGATGTGAAGCGTGTAGAGTATCGGCGATAAAATGAATGCATATGATTGGTTTGTTTTTAAAAATGCCAGATGAGCGCATGGATATTATTTGCGATGAATCATGTGGTCGTGCCTGTATTTGTGATATCTTAATCTGCGCAGCTGTTATGTGTCTGTCGCTTATAGGTAGGCGATGTGCTTCATTTTTCGGAGATAAGTGAACAATCAATATGTTTACTTGGAGGTGTATACTTATCTGATGATTTTGCTGTACCTTTGGGCAGCCCGTTCAGATATTGGATGAAATATTCTGCTACACAAAATAGGTACCCTATCTTCGAATTTGGCCCACATATTGGATCCGTCCATCTCCAAACCTAGACCCAAATTCCGACCTTTTTTTTTCACCTATCAATCAGGTGCTCGACGAGATCACGCATTGGGCAATGAGAAGGTCGCATTGTGCTGTGCTGATTGCAGGTATGTGGTGCATCTCCTTGTACTTATGTATGTTTATGCGTGTGTGGAGGGCGGGGTGTGAGGAAGGGGATATGTGGATGTATGTATCTATCTATATGTATATATATTTTTATTTTATATTATATATATATATGTGTGTGTGTGTGTGTGTGTGTGTATTTGTGTGCCTGTGCGTGTGCCTGTGCCTGTGCCTGTGTGTGTTTGTACGTGTTTGTGGTATTCCCAGGTATGCTGTCAGTCCTGACCCTGCTAACATTATCACAAAGTGGGTGTGAGTTTTGTTGACCATAATTAGAATATGTGTATAGGAAATTCAACAGTTTTCAACTTAAGAGTTCGTAAACATGTGTGCCTGAGTATCTATGCATATGGATATTCATGTTTGTGTTGTGTACTTCGCTGTCACTACAACGAACACATACGTTTGAAGAGCGCTATAGTTTAGGTTTTGTTATTTGGGGCGCAAAATATCCCACCTCATAGTGCCCATAGACAAACTGGCACATAACAATACATATCTATAATTTATATATTACGTAATCATGTATTGGTTTAGAAATAGTACATATTTGTGTACGTTGGCATAAATTATACGAATTTGTATGCGTTGACAATGGTTTCACAACTTTATTGTAAGAGCAATTTATTCGATCCGTCGGTCTTTTCAGTGGCTGCGTATATATTGTTTCCACCTATCATTGGTCATGTAGCGGTTCACTATGTCCCATTGTCAGCCTTGTGCCCTTACTCTCACGCTGTCTTGGTTGGTCACGTTTCAGATGAATGCACTCTCAACGGCTGCAGGTCAAGGGTATCCAGTTTAACATCGCAGGGATAGACTTCTGTCTCTGTCTACCCGTACACTGCACCGCGTATTTGCCGCAGTCCGATTGCTTATATGTACCGATCGGCATTTATCTTACCTTAATCCTACGCCCTCCAGGTTGATGACGTTCCAGACTTGGAAGCACTCGCAACGGCTGTGGGTCAAGGGTACCCAGTTCAACTTCGCATCGATGGTCGGTCCCGAACTGCAGCACCTGGTACCGTACTTTGACAACGCGTCACTCTGCATATCAAGACTTGCACCACAGGTACGGCACATTTTGCACGTGTGGTCGCGTGCGCGGGAGTGTCTGTTCATGTATGTGGTGGTGTTCACTCTACGGGGTGTTTAGATATGATTGGTTGTTAATTTTGTACATATGCGAACAATCTTGTAAGCGACTAAACGAAATGTCTATATCTCGACATACTGTTTCTGAACTCCAATATTTGATGCAGTTCTCGAACAATGCATCACTCTGTATATCAAAACTTGCACCTCACGTAGTGTGCAGTTACACATTTGTATTTTCTGTGTGCGCTTTGGAGCGGTTTTTTCCCACAGATTCAGGACGTTTTAAATCAGAGATACATACAGAACAGCACCACAGTTCTCCCTTGAACACCTGTTATTTCTAATGGTGACCGCACACATTGCGCATAGATATTTAATTTACGCACATGGACTCAAGTGCCTATTGGCCGTTAGGAAGTGGTATACTCGAGTGAATATTGACGTACGTATGCATATATGTAGTAGGAATTGTCAAAACATGATTTTATCTCGTACATAATATGCTCCTCCAAATATGTTCCAGTGGTTTATAGAATACTTGAATATTTTTCATTGATATTTTGGCCACTGGGAGGAAGTGCCTTTGAATTACATTTATCAATCCTGGCTATATAAGTCTGTGAGTGTTCATACGAGGGTGAAGTCAGTAGCGTCTGGTATATTTATCATTTGAACCTACCATTCATATTACCTAGCATATCCATGTACTTGCCAGATTCGTACACTTCTCATCTGAATGTTTCTCGCACTTTACTGCTGCAGGATTACCACAGATGGCACATGCCGGTGACTGGCAAATACGTCAACGAGACATTCATAGACGGCCAGTACTACACAGTCAATCCGATTGCGATCAAGAGCGAAGGCTTCGATGTGTTTACTGAGAATAAGAGGATTGTATCTGAGGCATGTGAGATCTAACTCGGCTATTTACAAGCTGTGTGTGCGTGTGTGTGTGTGTGTGTAAATGAGCATACGCTTGAGTAAACATACGAGTATAATTGATAGATGTATAGTACTAAACCGTCAATTTAATGCGAATAAGAGCGAAGGTCGATTTGGAATAAGAGCGAAGGCTTTTGTGTGTCTACGGACAAAGCAGGATTATATCTGATACCTGTGGATTCCATCTCGGACAGCCACATAGTGTTTGTGTGTGGGTGTAGTTTTTGCGCGCGCATGAGCTTTCATTGGAGTGCATGACAAGCCCTGTGGTGTTGTGAGCGTATATGGTGCGATAGGAACACCTGTGTGGATGCCCTATGGTTTTCGTCTGTATTTTTGGAGTGCATATGCGTTTATGTGTGTGGGTTGGAGTTGTTGAAGTGTGTGTGTGTCTCTATATGCGTTGTGTGTATTTGTATGTGCATGTCTCATAGCAGTCAGCCGTTTGTCCATGATGCGCATATTCCTGGCGACACTCCGTCTCACAAGCTTCATATACCGTTCCCACAGAGGCCAGGAACATTTCATCGCACCAACGACACCAATCCCTCTAGTAAATCCACATTTGCACGTTGTTGGCCGCAATTTCCTCTGCTGACATCCGTATGCCACACTTTTTGACAATAACATCACTTGCCCCAGTTCTTCATCACCATTCCCCTTTGTAACACCACATCATCTCAGATCTTGACATTGGTTCCACCTACCTAATCCACATCCCACAGTTCATGACAGAGGCCTTTGGGTTGGTGCTTCTGGTTGCGGTGGGTGCCACACTGGTGGGCGGTATAGACATTTTCCCAAAAATCGGCCAAGTATGATAAATTTATGACTATATATATATATTCATATTTGTGCATATATATGTATGTATATATATATATGTATATATATATATATATATGGTGTGTATGTGTGTGTGTGTGTGCGTGTGTGTGTTTGCTTGTTTGAGTGTGTGTGTATAATACGTGCTTCAAGCGCTTCCTAATTTCAGCTAGTAAATTGTAGACACCCCGTTCGCCGTCGCAAGCACTGCCACTAAGTTTGTGCCTATATTAATATATGTTCTTTTATATGCCCCATTATGTGTAGTGATGCAAGCATTGATACTAACCTTGTTTGTGCAAATCTGACCCCAACTGTGCACTTATGGGCTATGAGTGCACTAAATAACCAACAAGTGTGGGGTATACGCGTTAACGGAAGTACGCATGCCGATACCTTACAAGCCGCGCGTATGGTCACATCTTATCTTAAGTTCGTACCGTGCGCCATAGAATACACATACACGAAGTGGCACTGTGTTTGTAGTAGTCTATCTACTAGTGCTTAAGGCTTATCGAAAGATCATTGCGTATTCTAAGTGTATTCGCAACTCAAATTTAGTACGGAGATTCTATACAGTCACGAAAATGACCTATTCTCGACGTGAAATGGTATCGAGCTTTAGCAGCCATATATGATATTGGGCTCTCATACGCGAAATCTTTCGCACTGAACGGTTCGGATTTGAAGGCATATGCGAAGTGTCCCGCTCTATACCTTTCAGGATTCAAATTATCTTGGAAAGTGCCCCACTCCAATTTACTCGAGACCAGAACTCAATTGAAGTCCTTCACTCTAATAATCTAGGATTTAGTGTCTAACTCTTATATTGTTCAGGATTCGAACTGATATGCAAAGTATTTCACTCCACTATGCTAGGATTTGAAGAAGTTTGACGAGCACGGCACCTTCTTTTTCGGCGGGTCAACAGTCATAGTGGTATTCCAGGAAGGTGTCATCAATATGGACACGGACCTCTTAGCCACTAGTATGCGGTCGGTAAGTCAGTAAAAGTTTACGCGACATTAAACACACAAACAGGTGGCAGTTTATGTGGATGCTAGCGGCAGTATGTATGTATGTGCTAGTGCAAATTGTACAAGTTTTGTTTATGTGAACGTTGGTGATGTGAGGTGCGCCTCCTTATGAATGTATCGATGACTGTACTTCCATTTGTGGCGAAGCGGTCATGCATAAAAACTGTATACGTGGGTTTATCTATGTAAATGCGGGATCATACTGGTGAATGCCTCCCATGAAAGCGTATTGTACTGATAAATGCGTCCAAGAAAACATACGGTCAAGGCTACTCCCCACTCTCACGCCCATAGGTCATCCACTGTTGTATTATACATCTGAAGAAAGGGATTCGTTTTTGTTTGGATTAATATTTTATTTTACTTACCTCGGTATCAAATGGGACAAGATACTCGGAATGGATATCAGCGATTGGCACCAGTGAGCTCGAATGGCGGCATTGCACTATTGTGCTTCCGTACATAAGATTATTTGTTCATTTGCTTTATCATATCCATGTCACCCGTATACGAGTTCAACTCCTGTTTTCAATCACTTGCATTTATCTGAAGTCCCCCATCTTATATGTTATTCAGATGGAAACACTGGTCAGAGTGGGACAAACACTAGGCACAGCAACGGGGAAGGCAGCGAAGCTCGACGCCTCAAATTACGACAGCGTGGTCGCAGAACACTCGCTGAAGAATCTCAAATTTTAAATTCGTGAAAATTGGTAGGCTAAGTCGCCTTTTAATGGATAAGAATAAACTAGCTCGAATGAATTGGGGACATGATATACAATATGTACTTCAAAGTGAGGTCATAGAAAATTCAAGAACAGAAATCTTTGGAAGTCGACTGGGTATCACAATACGTAAAGCTCACACAGTGGAGGTTGTTTGCCGTGTAATTGACACCGGCTTGAAATTTTATGCTTATGGCCATGAAGACTGGGGGTCTGATATGACATTTTCTTGTTTTGTCTTCCCATAGACGAGGTTCCTTTTAATTTTGCAGGGTACATACAAATGAAAGTCCCAATCAGCATCGTATACACAGTAGAGCTTCATGTTTCAAGGTCCTCGAATACGATCGACCATATTTCACTAGGATTCCCAATACACGCGTGTGCAACTCTTTTCATCGGGTTAAAAAAATTGTTTACCCTCTTCTAGATTATTGTCGGCTTAATAGTAAACAGGTAATTGTCACAATATGACGGTTGAAGAAATTTAGCAGTATTGTATTGCTCTATGGCACTGGGGAGTACTCGATAAACAACTTTGTCCCCAATATGTGTGTAAAGAGTTTTGTCATATACCGTTCATGTAGTGAACAGTTGTAGCTGACAGTACACTAATGCTGTCTATTCACTTTGTTCTTTTCAAGTGAATCAGTCTCTCTGTTTATATTAAACTATTATAAATATTTCTATTATATATATATATATATATATATATATATATATATATATATATATATATATATATATATAT